AAACAAATATATACAAAATGATTCAATTACATATAATATAAATGTAAATAGCGCAAACGAATGTACAAAAGGGATGTTTGAAGCAAACTTACTTAGCGACGTGAAAATATACGTGAAAATATCTGTATTTTCAAGTTAGAATAATTATAATAAGTAATAACAAAAAAGTGTATGGTACCTATCGAAAATTTGACATGTATATAAATATGAGAGGAAAAGAAAGAAGAGAACAATTATTAGATAGACAGATGTCAATCAATCTTTTAAGCTAGAGCAGTATAATTAATTGTTATAATCAATACGTATTATAAAAGTATATTTCTCAGAAACAATAATTAAAGCTCATTAGTTTTTTTTTATTTGCTGTCGCGACGAAGCTAAAGTATCAAAAATATTCTTTCCTCACCTAGGGGGCTAAATATCATAACGTTGTCAGAGTATCCTAAGCGTCTACACTACCGTCGCGAGTCGCGCATAATCCGGTTAGTGCGCGCAGGATCGTTCGCAAGAGGATAGTGATTCTATTAATTAACAATGGCGATTAACGAAATGAGTACCGCTCACACCGGCAATGATATCGAACACGCTCCCGGTCGTTTCATTCCACCGATTAACTGTGATTTCTGCGCAGAGATTTCGGATCTAATTTATCGAGGTGAGATTAGAGACGTGTTTTTCTAGCTGATTGCCTTGGTCTAAGTCGAAATTGACCATAAAGTTTACGGGCGTTAGTCGTTCCTTTCCTAACGTTTTAAAATTACACGTTTACACGATACTCGACGATCATTCTCGCGCGAGAGAGAGTATCTCAAAGTAATCAATCGAGATTTAATTGTTATGACAGAGGCGGCACGGACATATGAAATAATTACGCCGCTTCGCTCTCTCGTAAAGGCAAACGGTCTTCCTTCTCGCTGCGAAAAACTTGTTTGCCGTTAGGACGAGGAGGTAGTCGTCTCGAGCTCTCTTCGCCAAACGATCGCCCCGCGTTTCTTTTCTCCCCCCTTTCCGCCCGCGGATACGATATCCACTTTTTGTGCCGTAACGAGCGATTACTTCTCGCTCATCTTTCCCCCGTTTCTCCGCTTCTCCAGCCTCCCGCTGCTTTTTAATGGCCGTTCACGCGCGTAATCGGCAGATCCGCATACCCGCGCGTTTCCCAATGATGATGCCCGGTCTCGTTATTTGCGCAGGATGCATCGTCGCGCGTGCGAGTGTGTACGCGAGTTGTTCCCGTGCACAAGTTTCGTCGGACGCTGGCACGTTGTCCGACGCGCACGCATGGCACCGGCGCGCGGCGCGCCGATGTTTATTCAACTGCAGCTGCATCAGCGAAGCCGGCGCGCGGGCGTCTAACTTCGAGTTGCATCGCCCGGCCCGGCGCGTTATTTCCATTAGCGGTAGAAGTAGATCTATGCGCGAAGAGCGTTCGCCTACAATTGGGTTCTCAAGTAAAATTTTTTTATTAAGCGGTATCCATAATTAATGTAGAGAATCTAAGCCGATTTTTAATACTTTTTGAATTTAAAAAAAAAACCTAAATTTGAGAAAGTTATAGCTTTCTAAAGTTTCTTTGATGACGGCAACTTCAAAAGATTTCGCAACATTATGACGTCACGCACATTTTCGTGTACTATATTTTCTTCAATTTTGAAGATATTGCAAAAATTCAAAAAGTTTACAAAGAAAGTATGCCATGATCTATCAGAATATACTGTTGGGTAAAAGTGGGTTAAAGACCGAATTCGAGACAGTAATCCTAGTATGCTAAAGTTGCAAATAATCTTCAAACAATTATAGAATATCTAATTGCAAATCGATATAAATATCAAACGGAAAAAGAAATACGTAGAGTAAAATATTTCTGTGCGGTGAGAAGTAATTTTTGAATAATTGAAGAGATGAATTGTGTATACGAAACGAGGTGGGTATCAAAGAGACTTTTTAAGGAAGCGAAACACAAATCACACACGCGATAAAGTATATATGTTGCAGACATTGCAGTAAACATTATAGTAAAACAGAATGTATAAAGGCTTAAGAATCGCGCGTTCTTGTTTTCGATGTATTTACCGCCGGCGAGGAGAGAGAGAGAGAAGGACGATTTATATCCGATGTGTGTCCGCTTCTCGTGGAAGCGTGCAAGATACCTTAAGAGGCTCCCGCTTACGTCACCCGATCTTTGGGCCTCGTACCCGGGGCTCTCCAAAGACCTATTACCTTATTTACGATTCGCACGGCCATTATCTCCTGGCAACAAAGTGAACCAGCCGGTTTTTCGATACTATCCCGCGTGTGTATATACCCGCCGGTGTGAAAGAAAAAGGGGAACCCTTTTCGCGGACGAGAAACGAGCACAAAAGACACGCACAACACAGCCGTGGCGCAGTTTTGCGGTCGTGGCCGCGTCGCCGAGAACGGAGGAGGACTTTTGTCTTCGTTTCTTAATAACACGCGCATCCACACGGAGACACCGCGTGGGGCGACCCTGGCAGAGCTAAAAGTGCTCACGCCACACTCCGCGATATTATCAAATTATGGATATACGTTAGGAACAAAGATGTCGGGAGCAGGGTTTATTTCTGTGAAATTTTACAACTAATTTCATCCGCAATATTACTGCTATAAGTGCGAAGATAATATTTCAATAATATACGTTTTATAAATAAATTAAATAAATCGAGTAAAGATTTTCGCGACGCTACTTCGACGAAAATATTAGGACGTTGGTATAAAAGTAGCAATTTCGATAAATAAGTACCGTCGGGGAATAATGACCCGGTCGACAGGCAGGTCTCTAATTTTGGAGTATACGATTTAAGTTTCCGTTCAGTATTTATAAATCGTCATTTACGTCAGACGTATGCTACCGTACAACGGTAATCGATCTCTTCTTTGCTATTTTAAAATCTCTTTATGCAATTACGTATTTCGTCTCATCTTATTTCCACGTTCTTCGAAAAACACGAGTACAGTGGGGCGAGCGGAAAAAAAGAACATTTATTCATTTCTCACGTTGAAAAAAAAATTCTAATAAACGAAGTCGAAAAGATAGCTTTTATCGAAAACTCTGTAAAGTCGCAGTCGCAAATTTTTGCGATGACCGAAATGGAGAGAATATTTGCGCGCGAACGAATGTTGATGTTTGCCAAATCGCAGAGGTATAGGTATACGTTAATTTCGGCCGATGGCTCGTGGTGGACCGTCGCTGTTATGAGAGCGTCGCTGTAAAGAGAGACAGGGAAAGAGAGATAGTTTCGATGAAAACGAATTTGTCGTTGGCCGCGATGCAACACGATGCGTCGCGCCGCGGCGCAACAACCTGTTCGATGACTTTTCCGTTTGATGATTGCAACAAGTGAGGCCCACCGCCGCCGCCGTGCGCTCTCTCCCGCGCGCTCTCCCAAACCATTTTACCACCGACAGCCACTCCCCGTTTCGCATTCAACAAGTGGCCAAATCATTCAGCGCGGGGCCGCGATCTCTCGAAAAATCGGAATTTTTGCGCGCGCACTGGTCGTCTGGCCAGTCATCGACCGGATCTATCAAAAATGAGATAGAGTTCCTCGCGACGTGGCGGCGACGTGGCGCGTCGCCGAGAGACGCTAAAGTCGAGTGTGCCGAGTGGTATCATTAACGTTGCCGTTGAGATTGCAATTCTATATAGCTTATTTTTGCAGTAGCCAATTTCTATTTTTGTAAAAATCCACACATACGTGCCTCCCCCCCTCCCCTCCGGCAGCGTAATAATAGTATTCGGGCGGTTCGCTCTTAAGAGGTGTGTGCGCGAGGCGCATCCTTTCGAAATTCGATTGACGCCCTTTCGCCGCAACGTAATCATTACTGTCATCGGAAAGCGCCGATCTTTTCCTCCGTAATTTCAGCCGGCGCGCCAAGTGCCATTGGTGGTGTGTGTATGTACTCGACGTTCTCTCTTTCTCTCTTTCGCTCTCCCTCTCTCTCTCTTTCTCTCCTACTAAAGAGGAACCCGTGGTGGTGGACTCGAACGAACCTCGTGGTATCTGGTGGAATGGGTCTCATTAAGGACGCCTTCACAGCCCTTCATCCTTGGCTCTTCAGGCCCGCGCTTTCGTCCCCTCATCTCTTCCCTCTCTTTCCAACCTTCTCCAGCCTTCTCTCGCCCCCGCTTCGAGATGCTCGTCTTTTATACCTGGCTGCCCCCCTGCTCGCATTTCTGGGCTTGGTCCCGTGTGTTTGCGTGCGCCTTATGTGCCCGAAGGCCATTCGACGCCTGCTGGTTCCTTGTCATCTTCGGCTTTAAGCACGTCGTGACTTAATGTGTTTCCAAAGGTATCCGGCGAAACGAGAAACTCCCGCGTGCTTTTTGGCCAACGGTCTACCACAGATATTTCTATAATGCCGCAGGTAGAATTTACAACTTTGCAACATTAACGAATAATGTCTTAAAAACTGAAGAAATAATCGAGAGATTGAGACTGCATGCTATTAACGGTAATCTACAATAATAACGATTATTTTTTTTTAGACAATTATAATCATATTAGGGTGTATATACATTTCGAAAAGAAAATTACATGGTTAGACTACTTATAATATATACTAATATGTGGAATACCAAGCAAGCAGGGAATACAGCGCAGGCTGAAGTTGATTTTCAAAAATAACGCGTGCAGTTAACTTTTTTTTCTGTAAAGATTGCGATTTTCAATAACGAGCGTTTTCCCGTGCTCCAATAATGAGCCAGCTGTCCGCAGATACGGTTGGTTCATTTATTCGTATTAATAGCCAGGGATATCCGCACGTGGATGGCTGACTGGCCCCGCAGCTAAAAAGATTAAACACAATGCCACAAAGTGACGGCAGGCTGCTTGTCGCGGATGCGGCTTATTCGTCGCGATCGTGTTCCGCGCACGGTTTTAACGCCCACGTGCGCGCGTATCCTCTATCGCGTCCGCATTGTCGTGTATACATAGCTAATTGAATCCCTTCGTTTCGCCAATTCCTTTTTCTCCTTGCAGGGTGGCGGCGGTAGCGGCGGGGCTGCTGGCGGGCTGAAATTCACGGTGGCGGACACTTGCGAGAGGATCAAAGAGGAATTCAATTTCATCCAGCAGCAGTACCACTCGTGAGTATCTCTCTTTCTTTCCTCGCTTATTTTCCTTTTGGTCTTTTCGTCCTTGCCATTCGCCCCCGTTTCTCGGGCGTTTATATTTTCCTTCAGTCTCTCTCTCTTTCTCTCTTTTCTGTTTGCCATGTTTTCTCGAATTTTCACGATTATTCAAGACGACGAGTTTTCCTCTGCATTTTTCCTCGTTCCCTCGTCGACTTTCGACAGTGCTTTCGATTATCGATTCGCATTATTCGATGCATTTTATTCTTACTTCGAAGGACGGGATTTTGTTGTGCATTTTTTTACTTAATAGTATTAGTACGTATATTACTTTTGTAAAGTAATGAAAATTTATCTTATTCTACACCTAATCGTTTCTGATTTTTCTTATATTTCAGATTGAAGCTTGAGTGCGAGAAGTTAGCTAGCGAGAAGACCGAGATGCAGAGGCACTACGTTATGGTAAGGCACTTTGTAAGTTCCTTTTTGTGTCTTTCCTCTCTTCGATCGAGTCTCGTTACCTCTTTCGTTTCGCAAGTCGAGAGCGGTCCGAACCGAGAACAACTCCGACAACAATTTAGTTCCTTAATCGTGAAAATGTCGGCGATACTCGCAGCTATGCTTCTCAAGGTTCGATAATCCTTTTATGCGCGAAATGCAACAACAAGCAAACAAGCTTCGGTAGAATATCGTAAGAAACTTTATACCGAAAGTAAGGGAAAGAGTATCGTTGCTTTCCTCCGAGTTTCGGCGGAATATTTAATCCGACATTTCCCACAACTTGTGCGCGAAATGCATAGGGTCCTTAAAAATAAAAAAGGAAAATCGATTATCGGTTTCGCGTGTGCATCGCGAGGATGCTCTTCGAGGATGCTCTCTCGACTTGCATTCGTATTGGCACGCGAGAACACACGCTAGGCACGCGGTATTTATCGATAACGCGAGCCTGAAAGAACAGGACATTACGTAAATGAAGGAACAGCGTAAAGCCGTTCTCGCTCGGGGAAAAATGATTGATATTATTTTCGCTTCATATTGCTGACGGCCCCCACTTTGATTTAGTTCTATCAGCGCGAAGGCAATTAGTCCAGCCAACCGTACTAATCGTATCGTCATCGGTAAGGAGCTTACTTGGACTTAGCTATATCAAAGTGCTGTAGTACTAACATGGTCCAAAATATTCGCCGCGAGTACTTCTCTCGTTGCTCTCGTCTTCTTCGCTTCGAGACAAGCTGGATATTATTATTGTCATTTCTACGATAAGTTTTTTTTCCTTTACAAGACTATAAACTTGCGTAAAATTAGTTATCTAAAGTTGAGACAATTATAATTTGTTCGGGAATTGCGGCATACATTTAAATTTCTGTTTCTTATTTATATTTGAATTATTATTTCTAAGATAACGGAGTACGTCCATTATTTGACATTTCGAGTAACGGTAATTACTTGAAATTGGATTGTGGCGTATACTGAGAATTTGGTCCCAGGTCTCATTTCAAAGGCGATATACCATACATGACGCGTTGATACCGGAAATTGAATGAAATATTGGCCCGTCCGTGTCATCGTGAATAGCCGCTGCAAAAAGTCACGCATCGGATCGGAATCAAGTGCCTTCTTAGAATTCGCGTATAAAACACGCTTAAAGCACAGCGTGTGAAATAAGTTTTAATTTGTAACTCTTTTTTAACCTTTATTGTAAAGATATTGTAGACGTCATTTTTGAAAAGTTGGTATGAAAAGTTCCGAGTATACCGCATATATAGCGCTACTTGTCTCCCACAGCAAATCAAATTCGCGGGAGTCCCGGCGACTAGACTGAAAATAAAAATAAAAATCAAGCAGGATCGGGACAAAATCTTTTGTCCCGATACAAATTCAGCGTTGCACGAGAATGCGCTCTCGCAGGGGCACCGGGCTTATGCGTTTCTGCAAACCGCTTTCGAGATACGAAAGCGAACAGCGCGGATTGGAGGGTCAATAACCTCGTTATGTTCGATAGACGCAAATTTCAGCGGAGCTAAAGGCACATTCCGAATGTTTATACTCGATCGCTTTTTAGAATTCTAGTATTGTTCGTAGAAATTGGAGACTGAAACCAATATAATTTCAATAAGTCTAACGCTCATCATTATCCGCATTATCACGCTTGCACATAAAGATGCCAAGTATATGAATCCAGATTGCGTAAAAAGAAACCACGAAATTTTGCAAAGATTATCTTGGTAATCGTTAGTTTATTTTAGTTAATATTTCACACTTGGCAGAATATTTAATTTCGGTTTGTTCTTAACATCAAATAATCACGGAAATACATTGTTGTAATTTTTGAAACGTTCCATTCCTATCCGTTAATTCTCCGAGGTAAGTTCAAACGGAGTGCTTCAATACAGGTAGCTCGGATTTGCGCGCTTAATGCATTCCTGAGAAATATGCAAATTCAAATTCGCGCGAACGCGGAAGGCCGATGGTGTTTTACATGCGAAAATTGCGCTCGTTTTACGCGAGCTCCATTTACACCGTTAAAATACGCGCGACTTAAGAAGCGCCCCGGAAAATCAACCGCGTTCGGCAGATCGACGTCCTCACCGTGATCCGCCGGGATCCTTGGATTCCGAGGTCCTACACCACTGTCTGCTGTACGGCCGATCGTAATTGTCGCGAACTATACTGTCTCTGTAAACTGCTACACCGATGTGACACCGTGCAAGCAACCAAGCAGCAAGCTGGGCCGAGTGGAAGGGAGTCGGGGGTGCTAGAGGGAGTGGATAAGGGGGGGGTCGGAGGTGACAGAGGGGTTGATGGGGGTTGGGAGTTGAGCCGGTAATCGATATCTCCAAAGTAAACGAAGAGAGAGATAGAGAAGGGGGTGGCAACAGGAGGTGGAGGAGCAGTTGGACGGGGGCCCGGCGGGAGGGGGAGGGAGCGGGGAGGGGAAGGGATGAAGTGATAGAAGTAGCGAGGAAGAGAGAAGCAAGGCTCGTCGAGGGAAAAGGGAGCGAGGAAGAGATGGATAGACGAGAGAAAGAGGGGGCGAATTACAGAGACAGAGAGAGAAATTGATGTCGAGGGTTTGTCAACCACTGACAAGTATTATATACGTGCAAGCCGGAGACGCGCGCCGACGAGGGCGTGGAACGTTGGTGTGCGCGGCACACAGTATAACGTACACCAACGCCGCGCCAGCCGTGTCTCTGATATTCTAATTCCACCCTCGTGTATTCCGACCGCCTCTCCTACCATCTCTTCCCGCCGCGCCGTCGTCGCCACCACCGCCACCGCCGCCACGCGCGCGCAACTTCATCCTTCGCGATTTTCATTAGGGTAACGCGCCGCGTAAATCCGCGCGCCGCTTCAATTTTTGCCTCCTTCCACCCCCACGACTTACCCTTCCCTTCCTTCCCTCTCGTTCGCTTCACTCTTTTGTCCGCTCCGTCTTACGGATCATCGCCTTTCTACGTCGTTATGCGATATCTTTCTCTTCTCTCGTCGAGAGATACCGCCAATCATGTCACGCTCCCACGGACTTGATTGATACACCTGTACTTGATTTATTTCTAGATGTTTAGATTGTAGATGCATTTTGGATTGTATGAGTTCAGTTTACGTTTGCATCGATCTTAGAATTTCTGCAAGTGATTCTTCTTTTCATTTTCTTTAGTTACTTTTAGCATATTAAAAGAAAAAGCATGTAGAATATACTTGTAAATTGAGACCGCACTACGGGTTTACAAAAATTCTATTTTTATCTTTATATTATTTGATCTTCCTCTGTTCACGTTTTATATTTTCACTCTGCAGATTTGAGGAATATATTTTCGGGAAATGACATTTTATCTTGAAAAATACACAATAGAGAGACTGATTCGACTTAACTTTTTCTCGCAAAAACATTTTGGTTTCAACTTTTATAATATATTTGTTTGTTAATTTATACACTACAAAACTTTCCTTTCTTTGTCTGTAAAAATTAGAAATGAGAAAAATTTTGGGTCATTGTGAAAAGTTTCTGTTCGATCGCAACGAAAATAACCAATGCTCGCAAACATCTGACATGCTCCAATTATCACGTGTGAATCTTTGTCCGCGTATTTTTTGAATTGCTAATCATCTTTCGTTCGATTGTTTGCAGAAGTTTTTATCGCGACAGGTGCGACGCACATCTTCGGTGAATTAATTCTCCGGAATGTAGCTTTGAACGAAGCCCCCTCGATGAACGCCCTCAACTCCTATGTTTTGAAGGCGGGTGGGAGGAGGGGAGGCTAGCGTCGTTACGTATCGTCAAAAACAGACGGAGCATAAGCGGAAAGCTCCGAATCCCCGGGCCGTCAGAAAATTAATTTGATTTCCGATACGCGAATGTAATGATCGAGCGAGCGAGGGGAAAAAGAGAAAGAAAATTCGACGGTATGGATGAGGGACAAAAAAAAATCGGGGGAATAGAACGAAAAAAACCTTATCGAAAACGGGCCCGAGGTCGTTGCGCATCTCCGACCTGCCCGCGAACGAGAAGACTTTCCAATTATCTATGTTTTTTCTCCGCCGCGTTTTTTCGCGCTGCAACAAATTAAACGTAACCCACATCCCTGGGGCACGCTTCTCGATTACTCTTTGTTTTCCTCCTGTTTCCACGGTTCGCCGTTTGCTTTCCACCCCTCGACTATGCCGCGCGCGCGGGCATACCTGGCAGATTGCATTTCTATCCTCCTGCGTTACGTTGTGTCCTTCTCTCGAAAAAAAATTTTTTTCCATCAACACTAGCGAAATTTTGCCCCGTCACGCTTCGACTGTGACGGGTGTTCGGTCGGCGATCCTTCCTTTATACGTAGAAAATATCTTTACACAACGCGGGTTTTAGTTAAAATATATTTGCATTGCCATCTTCCTGCGTTACGTTATTAGTTACGTACTATGTATCGTGAATTCTTCTACACGTCATATTTTAGATTAGTATCAATTTACTAATTCTTGAATAAGTTAATATTATTTTACAAGTACCAAATATAAATTTGTGCAAATTTATATTGTTAAAGAATATTTTTATTACAACTTGTTATATTGTAGTCGAAAATTGAAGAAAATCTTTATTGCATTGTGATAGTCTTCTTTATCTTAATAATTTACGGGTTTTTTTTCTTCAAAAATATGAAATGCAGAATACCGGCGGAGAAAAATTTCGCGTCGCGCTTCGCGGATGCATCAGTTCGCACCTCGAAACGGCTTATTAATTATCCGTTAATTATCCGCGTAACGTGTAAATTTCCGCGAGGTGAGTCAAGAGAGTGGATGCGAGCAAAAAAGGAAAATGGAGATAGGGAGAGAGACGAGAGAACGATAGACTGAATCGAAGTGCGGTGCAACTGGAAAGGAGAGCACGAAGAGAGGGAAGAGAGAAAAGGGGAGACAGGAGAAAGAGAGAGAGAGAGAGAGAGAGAAGGGATGAAACGAGGGAAAATGTCGAGAGAACGACAAACGAGGTCGTCCAATCATCCTATATCAAAGGCTCGCTACTAAAAGATCCATATCGAGTAATCGGAGGGGGCGAAATTATCGGTACAACTCTTATTATTGGGTTCCCCAGGCACGTGAAAATAGAAAATGAGAGACGGCAGATGAGATCGATATCTATTCTCTCTTCCTTTCTCTCTCTCTCTCTCTGCTATCGTCGAGAGAGAGTTTTCTCGTTATTTGATTACCGACTTACGTCGATATCTTGCCTCCGGCCATTCAAGTGGAACTTCACAATGCGCGCAAAGCATCCGCGACGCGAGGTAAACGTTGACAAATCGCGTGACAGATTGCAAAGCGAGCTTTCTTACTCCACGTACGGTCACGCAAAAGCGAAGCAGAGAGAGAGAGAGAGAGGAGGAAGATAGCGCGCGAGGAGAAGTGATAAAGAATAGAGAAACAGAGAATGAACAATACGTGGGGGGGGGGGGGGGAGGCCCCTCATTGTACGTGCTAGTCCAACGGATAAATTATGATCGCTCTTTACCTAGCGTGGCGGTAATCGCAGCGCGCACTTTTTCGTAGTCCGCGAGAGCTTCGAGGAAATATATTATCGAGAGTCTCTGTGCTTGTCGCGCGATAAGATCGCCGAGCCGAATCAACATGCACCGCCGTAGGACAAAGCGCGCCGGGATCGTTGCGCAAAAGGAGGAAGGCTCCGCGCGCGTGCCTTGCTCCAAGTTCGCCAGGCGTAGTTATCGACTGCATTATTAAGTCGGTATATTTCCGTGGCCGATGCTATCGATCTCCGAGCCCGAGTATCTCCCAGCCTGGCCTGACGTGTGTATTGCACTTTCCCTCCCTCCCTCCCTCTCTCTCTCTCTCTCTCCCTGTTCTTTCCAGCTTTCTCTCTCTCTCTCTCTCTATCTTTCTCTCGGCAAACCGCCGCGCCGCCCCCGAAGCCGTTCGTTTCCGAACGAGAGCGGCTAAAGGCGGACACGCGCGGCGCTAAGCGACAGCCACTAGCCAATTTACGATCGCGCAAGCGCATCCACCGGACTGCATCCTACGCTCGGATGCAGTTTATCGAGACGCATGTACGCGCTGGATCGAACGGCTACTACTACCTACTGCGGGCCCCCTTTGGTCTGACCCTCGCCCGCAGAAATTCGTCCACGAGAATGCCGACGACGTGAGAAGATCGCGCCGGCTGATCCATCGATCGCTTCCAGCGATTCGATACGTCTCGAGAATTCCGCACTTCGATGTACATACGTTCTATTTTAAGTTCGGAGAAAATGCGGAAAAACCCCCCGGCTTTTAGCACTAAACAGGAATATATGAAAAATAAATGTCACGATTATAAAATACGATCATAAAGTTGAGATGATGTTACAAACGTAACTAAGCGACTTTAAAAAGCTCGTGCGAATAATGCATTTCTGAACGAACGTTTGATACTTGAATTGCAGCTAGCCAATTTATGATTATGCTCGCATGCATAAGAATCATAGCAGTCGTCAATCTAGTTTGAATGTGGTTTTATGATTGCAAACTTTGAAACGCAATGATTTTCCAGTACAGTTCTCTCATATTTATGACTGCGTGCCGTTTGATATTTTAACCGTATATTATATGTACTTCGTATTCCTGAAAAATTTACTTTATGCAAACTGAAAACTACGTCTTTCTTGTTACAGTATTACGAGATGTCGTACGGCCTCAACGTTGAAATGCACAAACAGGTAAGGTTTTACCATTCTAGTACCTTTTTTTTTTCGAAGTAATGATTAATCCAGCGATTTAAACGAGATCGTTTAGTATTACTGTCCTGCAATCAAAAATTTACTAAATTAGATAAAATAGTCTTGTATAAGGTATTGATAATCGATAGCTAAAATATTTAAAACAGATGGAGATTATTCCTCTTCGAATATATTCTTAGAACGTATTCCGTGTACTTGTACTGTTCAAACATTGCAACAGTTAGATCGCAAGATCAGACAATGTAATCTTTAACCAGCGCGGCGTTGCGCGAAGTTAATCAAGATCACGTTTAACTCGGATACTAAGTATCCGAGTGGATCTTCGTTAATTGAGCCCGGGGTCAGTGAATCGTCGGAATCGGCCGCGGCCGCAAATGAGAGGTGCGGGCGGCGCGCGCGTTTAGGCCGGGAAATCGTGTAATTTTGGCTAATCAGGGGAAACACAGCGGCGGGGCAGTCCCCTCTGTCAGCAATTTTCTTAAAAGCGGCCACGGGTAGCCCCTCGTCGCCACGCGGTCATGCTCAAAAGTGGGGCTCCCCGAATTCCAAACAACCCTCCCGCCGTCCCGGTACAACGAGCTGATATTCATTAGCATTAGCGGCCGATCATTTCTCACCCTCGTACCTCGAGGCGGCGCTTAATGGGCCGAGGCGCGGGGAACTACGTTCTCTCGGGTAGTTATAGGGCGTAACATGGCGCCAGAATCACCGCGGAATTGTTTTCGGCGAATAATGTGCGAAAAATCATGGCATCTTTTTTTCTTTTTTAAGGAAAAACATATGGTGCTATTTTAATCGGTCTCGCAACCCGAACTAAAAGAATTGTCTTTTAAAATTAGAATAAGGTTATCGAACTTGATTTATTAACAACGGAAATTGGAAACGTCTGTGTGTCAAATTCAATTAGCTAAAGGTTTTGTTTGATTAAGTTGCTTATCTTGGAAAGATAATGTATTGAATAATTAAATAAAACTGAATTCTTTATCACGTAGACTACTAATGTAAATTCGTTAAATTGTATATATTGAGGAATCTGAAAATACATTCTTTGATATTACTTTTTCTCTAAAGAGCGCGATAAAACTTTTGAAAGATCCGCTTCGCGTTCGTAATTTGTAAATTTGTCGGATAATAATATACACCGGATATTAATAAAAATTGGAAAAGTAAGATCACTCGGGTTCGCTGGGAAATCAAGTCAGGACATCGCGACTGCACAAATTGCAGCGGAGATAATGTAACATGGCGAACTCGCTTCTCTGACACTAATTGGAAGAGAAATGAAAAGTTATCGGTTCTTGGCGGCTCTCTAATTAACCGTGATAATATCGCGCCGATGCCATGCGCTCGTGAACGCGCGATTAAATCTCTTTTGCCAGCTTATTCACATTAATTGCCATCTTCCAAGCGCATTAGACGATGATTTTGCGATGCACAAAATCAGATAGTCTTGAAAGAAATTAACTTGATAGATTTTTGGAAAAGCTTGTTACGCAAATAACGCAATAATCTAATTCAGAAGTACACGCCTTGTTATTCATCGATGTTTCATTTTCCATTTCTTCCGCCATCAGCCGACTTAATGGACCAAAAATATATTTATTACTTTCGTCGGGGATGCCGCGCGTCGTGTCAGTCTCAAAATCTCTCCCTCACTCGGCAAAAAAATAAATAAATCAAGCTCCCTTTAGTCAATCCCCGCCACTTAGCAGGCTTTCGCGTCGCGGTTTTCTCGCTCCTTTTCAATTTGAGCCCCCGAATGAAAACAATCTTCCCCCTACGAGGTTAGAGCCTTCTGTATCTCTGCCTCGTCTCTTTTTCCCGTTTCGCCACCCCTTTCGTTTTTACCCTTTTCGCTCTCCCTCGCTCTTCGCGCAGCTCTCTCTCTCTTTCTCTCTCTCTCGCTCCCTTTCTCTTCCCTTGATTTCTGTTCCGCTCACCTCTCCCAGAATGCTAGCCATCCCTCGCATCTGCGACCCTCGTATCTCCTGCCACAGCCCGAAGTCGACATTTGCCTCTCACCCACCCTACCGCAGCCACCACTTTACCACTCTCTACTCGACTAACTCGAATTTGTTGGCGATGTCCCAGTTCTTGTAGGTACGATTACTTCTCTCGCTCCATCCGTTCCTCATCCCCAATAGCAGTCTTGAGTTTTCTCCCTTCGGTCACCCTTGCTCGCGAACATTGGCTCGATCGTACGATTTAATTGCACGATATAGATTGCGACCGGTCGGTCGTCGCAATATTCGTCTCTTGATTCACGCGGTGAAGAAATAAAGTTTTCAAAACTTCGATATCTCTCGTCATCGACTATGCAAATACCGTTTACGACGAAGAATCTTGGAAAGATTTTTCGACCACTCAAAAATTGGGAAGACTCGATGAAAATTATCCCGCTTTTAATCTTCGGGTTAATGCGATATCGTTCGTTAATATCGGTAATAAAGCGTTTTATCAGTCGTCACATTAGATTCGCGAAGCCCGTCGAATTTCATCGTGCGAGCTTCATGGAAAACGAGATTCGCGGCAATAGAGAAAAATGGGCGGCTCGCGCAAAAAGCGCCCGCGACTACGCAAAAGAAAAGCGCGGAAGAGAAAGGGTGGGATAAACTGGGCGAATCAGAGCGGCGGCGAGGACGAGACGGGAGAGCTAAAAACTCATCGCGATGCGACTAGTCGCGCGTTACGTTCTCGCCCTATTCATCCATCGAGTTGTACGTACGTACGTACGTACGTACATTCGATTGCCGGCGTATCTGTCCGATAACGCTTATCGCTTAATTGAAAGGGACATCCTTCGGCGTAGCGGCCGCCTGCTCGTTGTCCCGTTCGATTTAAGCCGCGATCCACGGTAATATGTCGCGGGTACATTACGCGCACGCGATCACGAAATGGGTCATTACTGAGTCTCGGAAAGCCGAGAGAATTAGAAATGACCACGAAATACCAAGGAAATGAGGTAAAAAATTAGTTGCCCGGCGATATTCGTTTCAACGTTTTAATATCACCTCATTAGTTAACATTAAGCCACGCGGGTGCGTTTAATTGGAAACTTGTCGCAATGAAAGATTAAGAAAACGAAGAGGAATTTCAATTCCGTTTTATTCGCAACAAAAATCATCGTTAGGTATCTCTTCGATTTTCTCAACTATTCTGTATTAAAATTATTTCCGAACGAAGAACCGCGGATGGCAATAACTTTTGCCATCATCCCGGAAGAGAGTCAAGCCGCGCTCAGAAGTTGTTGCGAATCATATCGTTTCTAACGTGGGAATCCTTGGAGCGGAAATACAGAGTCGGCGACGGCGTTCCATTGAAAAAGCGCGTATCCCTTAGGAAGAATATTGCCGCGGCGTTGTTGTTGGCGTTGTTCGTCAATATAAAAGTAACTACCATTTCCCCATCGCGGGTTCGCCCGGCGCGGCGTCCGATAAAAAATGTGCAGGCTGACCAATTGCGTATAACTCACCCTGCCTTTCCAGTTCTTCCTACCTTCATGCATATATACGTCTATCTATCCGGGCTCTCTGTCTTCTGCCCTCTCTGGTCCTCTCTCCCTCTCTCACCTTCGTTCTTTTTTCTTTTTTTTTCGAATTCTCTTACTCCGTCTCTCTTTCAATGCGCGACCCCTCTCACTTCATCTCCCACAGGTTCTCTTTCGGCGGTCGGGGGTCGCTTTTCCAGGGTTCTCTCGTTCGTACACACGTGTTAGCGTGCGAACGCGCGAGCGAGCGAGCGAGCGAGAGGAGACCGACGAGAAAGAGAAAACGCGCGTGTACACATCTCGCACTCGCACTCGCAATCGCTCTCGCACTCGTACGCGCTTGCTCGCACGAACACCTACGCCGCGCGCACATACACCCTCCTAGGGGTCGTGTATTCGAGTTCTTTTATTTTGCCCTGTGGAGGTAGCAGAGGGTTGAGTCGAGCGAGAGCGGAGAGAGCGCGCGAGGGCTGGGGGCGATGACATCGATTTTTTACCCGTTGCTAATCTCAATGTTACCTCCACCTCTTCCTCCTCCTCCTCCTCCTCCTGATCTACCTCTACATCCACCACGTCCTTCCCCACCTCCCATTTGGTCATCTCCATCCCCTTCCTCGTCCCGCCCCGTCAACTCACTTCGTCCTCCCTGCTGCCGCCCCCGCCCCCTCGTCGAGCCCGCACCTCGGCCATCCGTTTTGCGGGAAAACGTGCATGTGCATCGGGCACATTCGAGAAGGAATAACCATTTTTTCGTGCCGGACAACACTCGCTCCGCATCGCCCGCGTCCTGCAAATTCTCCTCGTCTCCCGACCGCCGCCTCCGACCACCTCCCGCAATCCCCGACACTATCCCTCGCATCCTCTGTCCATTTTTTCGTCGAACCTTTTTTCGTCGCCCGCCCTTCCTTCTACACCCACCTAACCGTCCCTCGGTTCGCTCCCTCCCCCTTTGCCACCTACTGTCGAACAGGGCGAAATCGAACTGACGTGGACGCGGCAGTTTTCCATCTTTCTGTTCCCTCGTGGGGGCGATGACATTTTTTTCGGTCTCTCAACTTTTAGATCTACGCGGCTGGCTCCTCTGACGTGAAAATATCGCCGGGGCGATATCGGCGCGACGTTTCTGTCGAATGTAAACCCGCTATTAAATAATTACCGCGCGAATTTTACCCTCGCCAATTTACTGTCAACGAATCATTGAGATTGGACGAAATAATTCAGTCGATTAAAAAATATAATTACACGCGGTGATTCCCGATTATTAAATTTGTTACTTCACTATTGAAGAACAGAAATTTATTTGAAACTGTCGTCGTATAATCGGAAGGTATTTGGGCGACACAAAGTGCAAATATTTCTTTCATGCTGCGGTTGCTAAGGAAGTCACGTGGCGATCGTGAGCTTAATCGTGATCCGATTCGATCGACGCACATTAATGAGTAGCCACCCTCCTGCTACGAGGGTGAAACGAGCCACGCTCGTATGTTCGTCGAGCACTCGTCGTCGTGCGACACATGATTACCACGATGTAGCCTCGCACGCCGCTAACATGCGTGTCCTATATGTTATATACACACAATTCGTATCGCATCCCTCTATATACAGTCAGCCTCGATTTCTCAATTAAGCCTCATGCGTGACGTTAAACTATGCACGCGACATTAAATTTCAAATGAATTTCCAGTGTTACTTGCGCAATTTTACAAATGGATCAGTCATTTTTGAAAACGACACGTGCCGCGCTGTAATTTTTGGAATACGGAGATAGGTGACGGAATGTATTTAAAAAAGTGGCGCATTTACGGCGCGAGTCAAAAGAAATTATCTATGTCTCTATCATCTACTTGCACCACTCACTTTGAAAACAGCGTATAGAGAATTAAAGCGCTTTTCATTTCTTCCTAAAAGTCCGCGATATTTTTCATATACGCGTTTACCTCCGAAGTGATGCGATAATAAGATAAATCGTCAGAATATTTAGCTGCCATTTGAAAAACACATTTGATTCGATTATCCGTCGTGTGTTCGCAGACGGAAATCGCTAAAAGGTTGAACGCGATAATCGGGCAAGTGCTCCCGTTCCTGGCGCAAGAGGTGAGTCTTTGACTTTCTGTTTGGCACGCGTGCCGTGCGATCTCACAATCGAGTGTGACGACGACGCGATAATGATAGCATGGCATTGCAGCATCAGCAGCAGGTGGCCAACGCCGTGGAGAGGGCGAAGCAAGTCACCATGTCCGAATTGAACGCCATTATCGGGGTAAGTAGCTGCTCACCGTTTAACTTCCTAAGTCATCGGCTTTAATGAGGTGGATCGTAAGAGTGCGTCCAGAAAAAAAATTCTTTACAACTAAATAATTCGCAATATATCGGCGAACTTAATCTTGTCAATTGAATAACTGTTAATTGAATAATCGACGCGTTTTCTTCTTAATTCTTGCAGCAGCAACAGCAGCAAGGTCTCCAGCAGCTATTAGTGAGTATTTTACCCTACATTCGATGCATAGCATAAATTTATATTTTTTTGTCATTTATTAGATGACGATTTGCAACCGTCTTACATGATTCACCTTAAGGTAATGCCTTGCGACATTTGACTTACAAAAATTGCGAAAAAAAATTACACGTTAAAAACGGATTACCCGATTAGTTTTACGACATTTAGCCTAGCTAGAGATCGTGATAATAAAGAAATGCAATTTTTCCGTTTAATTCATTGATGCATCTTCCTAAATATGTATTACCGGAAATATCGAATACCATATATTGATATTGTATCGCCAGTCACGCGGTTAATTGACGTGCGAATAAAAATAAATTTAGAACGAAAACATAAAGCGCGTTCGAGAAAAAGAAAGGGCAGGAGAGAGGCAGAAAAGGAACGAGAGGGGTTCGGTATTACAAAGGTTTTTTTTTATCTTGACATCGCAGCAACAGATCCATGCGCAGCAACTGCCCCACGGCGCGGTGGTCGGCGGTCTTCCGCCGGGCGGTCTGCTGGGCTTCGCAGGTGCGGCCGCGGCGGCCGCAGCCGCGGGTGTGCCGCCGCACTTGGCGCCGCCGCCGCATCCCGCGGCCGCGGCTGCGGTCCAGGCACAGGCGCAAGCGCTGCTGAAGCCCGCCGATCTGCAGCAGCATCGCGCGGCCGCGGAGACGCCCGAGGACCGTAAGCCGATCGCCCTGCCCGACGAGAGGCTCGGCCACCGCTCGGTCTCTCCGCCTGAGAAATTTCGCAGCCGCACGCCCGACCTCGAGAGCGACTCCAAGAGGCGGAAGGAGGAGAAGCTAGGACACGTGAGTACCATTACCAGCATTGACACCATCCGGCCGGCGTTCTCCCGCGTGACGTACGTCGCGTTGCTCCGATTTGCTCGAATCGATCGGCAGTTCGATCGGACTCCGAGGTGTTTTACATTACAATTCTGAGATCCGACTTACCGGATGTCTTTAATTCAATATTTTACAATAGATTTTTTAAATCAGAAATCGGATTTTTATTCAGAGACCAAGTATAAAATTGAAAGGGAACCGCTCTGTAATTTCACAAAAATTGAAATGTCTTTTCCGTTTGAGATTTTTCCCCTTCAGAGGGAGAGAAGGGAGAAAAAAGTCAGCGCATCGGTAACGCAGGTGCGTGCTGTTGCATTGAATATTGCCCGTTGGTCAGTGCACGCTTAACTATACAGAGAGACTCGCGGCGTCGAAAAAGTTGCGCGTTACGGCGGAGGGCGCGTTTAGCTGAGAATTAAAATGCTAATTGCAGCGACGTCGAAAGCCGATAAAACGGCCGACACTCTCGGCGATCGCTGAGCGACGGAGAGGGCAAAGCGGGTGGTAGAATAAAGAGACGCACGGAGCGAGCAAGCGCGCGCGTTATATCGCTGGAAAGTAAACGTAAGAGTAATAAAAGGGCCGAGTTAGAATCGAGTTCGAGCCGCGCGATAAAGGATAGGAGAGCGTCGATGCTAACTTCCACTTAACCGTCGAATTCGCCGAATAAAAAAAAAAAGAACAGGGAGAGAAAGAAGAGGGGATGGAAAATACGCTCGGTAGTCTCGCGTGCCGTCTATGTCGGCCTTTCCTCGGCGGGAGCCGAGCGTCCCAAATGCAATCATGCGTCGCGGAAGTTTCCATCGAAATCGGATTACCCTCGTTCGCCGCAAAGGCGGAAAAAAGGACCGCGACTTCCTGCCGGTCAAGAACCCGCGAGAGTCCTGCCTGCCGCGTCTGTTAAGTCGGGCGATCGTCTATTTTGCTTAACTAACGTCTATCCGAAGTGAAGTTCCACGAAAGTGTGTTTCTCTGTCTTGAATCACGACGACAAAGAGCGCGCGCGAACTCCTCGCGAGAGGCACGAACACGGACGGGGGTAGAGCAGAGGGGGCGCGAGGGCGGAGACGGGTGGTATAATTAAAAACCGTGAAAACAAGCGAACAGTTAGCCGGGTCGTCGTGCGCGCACCGACTAAATTGGATTATTTTTCTCAGCTGCTCCCTTACCTCCTTCGGGCGCTTCACTTACCCTCTCTTCATTTCTCTTTATCTTGCTCTACCTCTTCCGGTTCTGTTCTTTTCTTCTCTCGCATTTTTTTTTTGTACCGATTAGAGCGTTTCCACGTGAATTCATTAGCCGGCGTGGCTGGCTATATCCTCGGCACTCTCTCGGCACTTTTCTCTTTCTCGCGCGACCGTATTCGTTGATTTGCATTAATTATTTATTTAAAAGACGTCATAAAATCGTTGAGGAACGTGATGGCTATCTATTATACAGGATGAGTCGCGCAATTTGAACGGGTTATACCTTCTTCACGGTTGATGATAGGAAAAAGTGGCAGGGGAAAAAACTAAACGATTTAATGATGCCTCATTTCTTATGAAGTTACCATCCTGACATTGCATGACTCACCCTCTGTATGCGGGTGGAAAAAGAAAGCAAGTTATCTACGGAAATAAATACGGCAATAATATAAATGATTTTATTAAGTAACATTTTAGATATAATATTGAATTAAAATTCAAAGCATGAGTGCGACGTATTTTCTTCGTCCATTTGTCCTTTCAACTATCGAGGAACATATTTCCCAACGGTTCTTCGCCGCGTTCTGATGACTTCAAACCACTGTTAAAATTGCTTCTCGGACAACTGTGTAGTTGTCGCGGCCAATTGTCACTGCCAAGCTACTGGTAAAAATCAAGGAATCACGGGCGACCAGCGTCTTGCCTCTAGCTTTCTCTGCTCTCTCTCTCTCTCTCTCTTCCAACCACGCTTTCGTATTATCTTTCTTTCTTCCTGGATGTACTAACGATGCGTCGTTTACACGGGCAATCCCTTCGGCCCCAAGAGTGCCGGGAAGTTTGTTTGAAGTTGAGGCACTGGACAGATCCGGTCATCAGCTGCGTTTCCCCGCAGCCCCGAGATAAAGTCACGATAAATGGAAAGCAATTTTCATGATATTACAAAATTGTCGTTACATTGTAATGACATTACAAAAAATAATAACATTATATTAATTACATTTTATATAAAATTATCAGAATATGGAAAATTCTACTTACATTTATATAAAACATTGTTGTTTTATAATTATCATAATGTGGGGAGTGTACTTACGATAAAATAAATATTAATACCTTGCAAAAATTTAGATGCTAAAATAAAATATTTTTATATAAGAGCGCTGTTCTATACGGTTTTTTTCGCGATTGATATTTCTCTTATAATTAATCTATATTCTGCTTATTTGCTGAATTAATTAATTTATTTTTTCATATTTATTGGAGAGAATTCTTCGCAATTATATGATGTTTAACATGCTCATTTTTTGTGTACTTATGAAGAAATCCGCCACTGTCGCGGACGCGTGTCCCGAGTGCAGAAATGGCCTGATCGAGAATGCGAGCGCGCGACATCGCATCCGGTCGTATGTAATTCACGAGACCGACGACGAAGAAAAGAGAAGGAATGGTAGCGGGTTAGGGAGGGGAGAGAAGGGCGCGCATCCGGAAATGAGTTTTCGCTCGTGTCCACAGTCAGGTTCTTAGGACTGTCGGTCGGAGCTTCGTACCTACATGTGCACGCCGAGAGAGGATTAGTCGTAGCTCAGCACACCACTACCGCTATCTTCCTAACCCCTTCGCTTCATCCCCGAGGAAGCATTAATCAAAGGAGCAACCGTATGCTCTGTTTCCGTCGCGACGAAAGCTGCTGCCGCCGTCCCCACATGAAATCGCTATATCGCGGGAAAGGAGTTTATTTCGTCTTACACAAATCGGATCGAAGGTATAGCCCTGCGAGTCGACAGCTCTCAATTTATGATTATTGCGATAATTTATTTTATTTAAATTTGGCGATTAATTTTAATTTAAATGAATATATTATGTATATTGTTTTTTTTTTTTTTGTGAAAAGTGTATACGATACTGAGAAAGAATCGGTTTGATACATTTGCGGCAACATTTCGAGGATAGTGATCCAGTTCTCGATTACTGCGTTTTTTTGGTATAATTACTTCTATCTCGTAAATGGAGGGATTGTGTCTGAATGTCTGACTGTGACCTCATTTTCTCGTAATCGTCATCCCGGCCGTTGGTGCTACTACGTTGCGAAGGGTGGAGAGGCAAAAAAGATTCCCGATAAAATCCTGGAATCTACCGCGCGCCCGCGGCGGTCTCTCGGTAATACGACGGAGCATAGTGCACATTGTGAAATAACGTTTCAAAAGCGTGTCGGATGGCAAAGTGCATTTTTCATAGCGGTCGAAATGAAATTGAAGACGGAAAATCTCAAACGTGTTAAATGGCGAAATTTTTGCGTCGAGGCGGACACGTCCTGTCCCACGATGAAAAGTAACTTTAGCTAGGTGCTAGAAAAACCTAATTAAACGTCCAATTAAAATTCGTTTGACTCAATAATTCCGAATAACTTGGAACCTTTTTGGAAACGTGCTATCTCGTACAAAAATTATTGGCTTATCTCAAAGTTGAGTTTCTTCGTTCGGTTTTGATTTCGATATTCTACGAGCAAGTTACTCGAGTGTTATATTGTTTCTAGTTGCGCTCGAAAGAAATCGCATTTGTTCACCGTAAACACCGAATGTACAAGCGTTCACGGGATTTTACGGGATTAATCGAAATTCGCGCGGCATTAGATGCGCTAATGAATGGGGAGTAGTTGAATTCGAGGCGGAATCGATGCCGGGTGTTTACGAAGACGGCGGTTGAGGCCGGCCGGTTTAACTTTGTCTCCTCTGCCCTGATCCGCAGAAACTTGCAGACATCGGGACCGCGCGCGTAGATGTGCTGCGGTAGATTCATCTGGTGGGAATTCAGGCGGCGGGAAAGAGGAACGATACGGGATGGCGAGAAAGAGAGAAAGACAGCGGAAGGCATAGGAGGTGGAGATGGCGCGCTGGAGGAGGAGAAGGAAGAGAGTTGGGACGGGTTGGGATGGGTGGGTGGTTGAATTTTTCATCTGACCACGTCGAACCAATTAAAGCGGACCACGGTACCCAACCTCCACCTCCAACCTCTTCCACTTTTTTCGTTCTCTCTTTATTTCCGCCCCGCGTGCTGGCCTTTATCCACCCTCTCTCTGCACCTCCCTCCCTCCCTCCCTCCCCCCACGCGAGCGCGAGAGAGCGTTCTCTTTCTCGAATGTGCCCTCTTCTATCTCGCTCCCGCCCGCACGTCGCGCAATCCGTCGTCCATCCCCCTTCGTCCCGGCGCGCCGCGCGTCCTCCTTCCATTTCGTCTTCCTTCTCTCGCCTCGTCCACTCACTCACTCTCTCTGGCAACTCGTTGGATTTTTTCGCGTCACGAGGCGGTGTAATTTATTTGGCCGAGGTAGAGAGGCACCCGCGGAGGTGGTCGACGAAGCGAGCGGGGGGGGGGGGGGGCGGACGGGCGAGGACGGGGGTGCAGGGAAGGGATGCGAATACAA